CGATTAACCGAGTATCGCTTCTTACCGATAGAACCAATAAAGTTTCTAACGCTTGCTAGCGATCGAAAGCAAAATCAGAATAGAGAGAGTGAGTTTGTACTGAGAATAAACTCATGTTCTCAGCTAGCGTTCTTTATTGATCCTTTCTCTTTTTTTCTGTTCTTTATATCAGAGAACTAGCAAATAAAATGTCTCTTCTCAGATATACACGGTATATCTAAAAGATATGTTTCTGTTCGATTCTTGGCAATGTCTATAGAGATTCAACACGTATATGTTCAATTTATTCTTCATAACTCAGTCAGTTTTAATCCAAATTTTATAAAAGGAACTACCGTAAGAGTCTCAAGGCTTTCGTCTTCTTACAAATGTGGAAAAGTTAAAGACTTTCACAGTGTAACCTTTCAAAGGACGATCAAAGTCAATGCTTTTCTCCTGATATTTTATCAACTGAAAGAGCCAGTAGAGTAGATTTCAATAGTGTTTTCATTTCTTAAGAAATGAAATACAATTTCTACATAATCACACTTACAATCGGTGAGACGATAATCGGTAAGGACCGATAATCGTTACCGTTGCATGCCTAGTGCAATCAAATTTCAATGCGCGTTCGTCGAGCAGACAATGCTTTTGTCTTCTCATAATCTCTATCTAAAAAGGAAAAATCAGTATGAATAGAGAGTCAGGTAGTAAATTCAGGGGAAGTACACAGCAAATTCAGCTTTCTGTTCTCTTATCTAAATACGTTTCATTTTGGCCATTACGAGTGCGTGTATGTCACGTTAAGGAAGATAAGTAACGGGATAAAAACTTTAAGACACTGTGACAAAACACTTGTCAGTACCCTTTATAAGAATTTCCCCCTAGGGTGAAGATGAACCTGAATAAAATGATGACTGGAACGGACGGAACATATTTCACTTTTCAACTTTAGAAAAGAAAATGAATAATCATAAAGAATAGAAGAAAATGAATGAGTATGCGAGTGTTCGGCAACTGCCATTTCTCGAAAAAATACCGAATTCCATCGCATCACTACTGAATACTGGAAGCAAATCTAAACGTTAACTGACACAGATTCTGTATTGAGTAAAATCTAAAATCCCCAACGCTCATGTGTGCACATATATGTCAAGATAAATATATGAATATGGATATTTACTAAATCTTTATGGGTGTGCTTGTTAGATGAATTCATGTATAGTTTGTATTATCATTAAAGCATTTTTTCCGAAATTATAGAAAAAAGCGATAATAAAAGCAATCCATAAAAATACAGCTCGAAATCTGTGTTCTGGATCGACCAATTTCTTTCTTATCTAATATTCGTTAAGTTTTTGAGCTTCTTATCCATAAATGTTTACTTAGTCACCTGCATGAAAAAAATTTTTTACTAATAGACAATTTGGCTTTAGGCCAAGCTCTTCAACAGTTGATGTTCTTTTACATATAACAACTAAATTAAGTAATATTTTAGAAGAAAGAAAAACAGCAGCAGGAGTTGCCGTCGACTTTGCAAAAGCTTTTGATACGGTGACTCATAGACTTTTGTTAGAAAAACTACAAAAAGCGGGGACAGAAGGAAATTTTTTAGAATGGTGAGGATGATTAAATCTTATTTAACTAGCAGAGAGGAAGTAGTAGTAATTAATGATAAAATATCTAAAACTGCGCTGGTTACTTCTGGAGTGCCTCATGGTAGTGTGATTGATCCTCTATTATTTTTGATATTCATTAATAACCTTGTTTTAGACTTAACTTAAGACCTGTTCCTATTGAGGTAACGGATTCCTTATTTGCAGACATCTTCGGATTAGTCTCGTTACAAAAATTTTCTGATTTATCCGAGGTACGGAATCTCCTAGGTATTATATCGAAGTGGTATGTAGAAAACGAGATAGATTAAAATATCGATAAATGCTGCTATATGCCATTTTCTAATAAAAAACCACCGTAGCAGTTCCCACCTCTTTTATTAAGTGGGAAGCAAATAATGATCAAAAAAAATATAAAATTGCTAGGCGTTTATCTTTCATCAGATCTCACATGGAAATTTCATCTTGACAATACAGCTTGGAGATGCAGGCAAATGTTAGGCGCTAAGAATCGAATATTCAGATCTGCTTTTACTTTTATTCGACCGCATATTTCTAAAACTTGTATTTTCGTCATCTATTTAATCAAGTGGAATATAGCGTTCTTTGTTGTTTGTATTTTATTTGCTGTTGACTGGCAGTCTAACTACGCCTGCCAAAGGCGACAGATGAAAACAGCCAACCAGGAAAAAACAGTCTACCGTTAATTTAAAACATTTTCAAACATTTTCCCTGTAATTTGATGCAAATGTGAACAGGATCTTGAAAGAATAGCAGCAACTACCTGTGCGGAAGAAAAAACCATGGCCATCGCAAGGCACGTAGACATCGAACGCTCGTTGCGGTCATTCAACTGCATATTTGGTAGACTTTAGCGTGCTTTAGAGGACTTGACGGAACTTTGACGGACTTTGGGAATTTAGAAGATCTAGCAGGACTTTAAAGTCAGCTCAAGTCTATAAAGTTCCCACATTATTTGTTGATAATAATTTCATAAAGGAAAATATTAATTGTATAAGTTCAGCAATCATTATTTTAAAACTTTTATTTAAAACAGGAGCTTATGATTACAACTGTAATCATCGTCAGCTACATTTAAACGAAAAACACTCACAGTATATATATATGTTCATTTTCGAGTTTGCTAAAATGATACAAAAACGGAAAGTAGACAAGAGTGAACTAATGTTCAGTTTGGATGTTGAATCGCTATTCACCAACGTACCTGTAAATGAAGCTATTAATTTAGCTATTAACATCATCAAGAGAAAGCAACGAGAAAATCCCAAGTTCACAAAATTAAATGCAAAAGATCTAAAACAATTATTCGAACTGGCAGTAATTAATGTTCCATTTAGATTTTACGATCAACTATATAAACAGCAAGACGGTGTCTCTATGGGAAGCCCGCTGGCTCCTGTACTAGCAAATATCTTCATGGAACACATAGAAAATAGGATTGAACAATATCGGGAACAACATAAAATCAAGATCATGAAACAATATGTTGACGATATGTTCTTCATTATTCATGGAAAACAGGATGATGTTGAGAAACTGTTAGAATGTTTCAATCAATTACATAATAAAATAAAATTCACATGCGAAAATGAGAAAAATTATGAATTACCATTTCTGGATGTCAAGATCACAAGACAACGGATGAGGTGTGAGACACCAGTATACAAAAAACCAACACACACTGGTTTATACCTCCACTGGGCGAGTTGTTAAGCACGGAAGTACAGAATTAGTCTCATTAAAACGCTAACCAATCATGCAATCAGAATATGTTCATCAACAAAACTACTGAAGGAAGAGTGTGAACATATTGAACAAAGTTTAATAAGAAATGGATATCCTAAAAACCTAGTGAGAAGAAAAATTAAACATACGATTGAACAACAAAAACAGCAGGCTCCAACAAAAATAAAAAAGATCTTTTTTACCTCGCTGACATACTGGGGTAATGAAACAAAAGTCATGGCAGATAAACTAAAGAAGATGCTTGAAAAGACTTTCCCAACGACAGACGTGAGATTCGGATTCAGGAGAGGTTTAACGGTACGAAAAATGTTTATAAAGAATTATAAAGGGATTGATGATACAAACACTGAAGTAGTATACAAAATTAAATGTGATCGTTGTACACAGGTATATGTTGGACAAACAAAGTTGGCAGTGATGGACAGGATGGAACAGCCCCATGCGTCAAAAAAAAATCTAGTATCGCCCGATTCATCTAGATTATTAGATTTTTACTCGATCACAACTACTATGTAACGACAATAGAAATCTAGTAATTGGGCGATTACTAGATTTTTTCTAGTTGCAACTATCGATTTATCGCTCGACAATTGATCGATTTAACTATTACTAGATGCACCTGAAGACGCATCTAGTTAAAAGTCCCTTTTCCAACTAGTAATCTAGATGGCAACTAGTTGTGTATCGCCCGATTATAGACGAAATGTATCTAGATTTTTCCCATAGGTGATATTTGCTTGGGAGCATCGAAATGGATTAACAGAAAGAGAGAAATCGGCGGCTGCGGATCATATGCTCGACAACAAAAGTTACGTCGTCAGATTTGATCAACCCATTATCATGGCACGTGATACAAACTGGAAGAAAAGAGAAATTAAAGAAACGCTAATTACAATGAAGCTGTAGAAGAAACGCTAATTACAGTTTTCATATAGTTAAAAAAGATAATCCATCAAAGTGAGCAATAAGAAAACGGAACAAACAAAAGACTAAAACAATAAAAATGTTAAAATATTGCTGGCAGATGTTTCAGAAATGACCCTATGATTTTAGTACTAAGTTACGGAGTTGTACTGGGTAGTGTACCGGGGTAGTACTAAATAGTACTGGTAGTACTAGGTAGTACTGGTGGTACTGATAGTACTAGGTAGTTCTAGATAGTACTGATAGTGCTAGATAGTACTGAGTACTAATGCATAGTAGTGCATAGTAATAGGTAGGAATAGTAGTTAAGGATTATGAACATGAACATTTGCACCAAAGTCATATTATCTACAGTTTTCCACTTTGTTGCAAGATCGAATTCTCCATCCTATGGACAAAAGAATTTATAATAATCAACGACTGAAAGAGTTTCTTATCCGGCCGGCCAATCTAACTAAGTATGGATAACACATCAATACGTGAGTGATGGGATATATGATTCTGCTTGAAATGATGGGAAAAGAAGTACATTCAGCAGCGTTTTCGACTCTGCGAGTCGAACACGGAGTTGCAATTAGCGCACAGAGCGACTGTTTATAAAAAATACACACTGTTTGATCCAGTTCTCTGTTTACATATGTACTGTTTTTATCAATAGCAGTTTCTGCTTCTGCATCTTCCACTCGATTCCGTGCCGCGTTATCTACCATTTAGCTACCAAAGCCGAGCCTTAATGGCAGCGAAGGCTCGATTGTTTTTAACTATGTGCCATGAAATTAATAAGACTTGCGATACTTCATGGGCAAAAAGAACTATATGATAAATACCGATAATAGCTAATAAAATGGTTAAAAATGCTTCTTTTGGCTGAATCAGACGTTCAACGACTTGTTGTCGGAAAAACGTATTACTATAAATGGTAATTTGAAATGCAACTGCAGTGGATTGATCAGCCTCAAAATCTTCTTTGGTCCATATGGGAAACGATAACGGCAGTGCAGAGGAAATAGTATTTGTAAATACGGTAAAGTAATGTGGCGGATTTGATGTATCAACTTGTTGACGACGTGCATTCATACCATAAATCCATTCACGGGTTATTAGAGGAGATAAATAATTTTCTAATAATGGAGTCGTAGGATCACTACTATTGGTTGGATGCGACATAACTTCGGCGAAATTCGTTAAACCAATACTAAAATTCCCTTGTTGGCATCGTGGATCGGTATCTGACACGGCAGCTTGATAAAAAGCAAAACGCGCCGCTTGCACATGTAATGAAGGCCGAAATTCAATACGAAAGACGGGCACCTGAGATAAAATGGATCCTTGGGCTAATTCATAGTCAATACGACATGCAGGGTCGACTGGTTCTGCTAGGTCTGTAAATGTTAACCACTTAGTATCGTTACAAGCCACATTTTGTGAAGTAAAAACACAACCACTCATTGTGAAAGATATAACAGAATCTATCGAACAGTTTATTCCTAAATGAAAGAGAAAATCTTGTTTAGTTGGCGGGTCTTGTTTAGAGAGCACGCACGCCAATTAGACATAATACAAAATCTGCTCCATAAAAGGCTGACTTATCGCACCATACATACGGAAAAGGGACCAAAACGTACTTCCTGTTAGAGATGTGTACTAATTCCAAATTCTCGTCCAAAATATCTTTTTTTTGATGAAGTGATCTTTGGTCTTATGCCTGAATGGCGTATGCTTTCATGTCAAACTGTACGCACTCACCTGAATAACCATATAACGTTAGTGAAATATTAGCAGCCACTAGACTAATAGCCTCTAATCCACTTTGTAAAATCAAATCTGAAACATCATTGGACGTTAATTGTTCATATGCATATCGATTGGTCGAGGTACCATATACTGCGTTTTTAGATGGATTATAACTAGCAATAAAGAGCCCAGAATATATCAATGAACTCAATACAAACATAATAAAAACAGCATTAAAAAAGCCATGTAACATACGTTCTTGTTCGTGCATTCGATGTATGTCATGTGCTTTCATAGCGTCAAATTCAGTATTTATACGTGCTTCTATACTGGAAGAAGTATTATAGTTACTTTTAGGATCAGAAGTATTACTATCAATATGCGTCTTTAGAGCGTTATTTGATGATAAAGATAGTAGCTCTTGTACGGTAGAAAATGAAGAATTATTGTGTACTTTTTTAAGATCCGAACAATTTGTTTCAATAAATGCAATCTTTGGACGTGTTTTGTGATCATCGAAGGTTTTAGGATAATGTGAATGACTATGAAGATCGTTATATTGGCTTATAGCAGTTGTCATTTCAGTCTTGGTATGATTTCCGAGGCTTTTCCCAACAGATTCGGCATCGTTGTGTGAAGGAGCTGTTTCGGCTGTTTTTGCCGTAGGTAACAGAACCCATTCATACAGTGATAAGGCTTTCTTAAAATAAGGATGGAGGTATCCGGTACCAGGGATAAGGTATAAAATTAATATAATGGCTGTAGTACCAGCAATGATAAACAGTATAATCATTGGAGGTGTTGTAGGGCTAAAAATAGCATTAATCAAAAGATCTTCAAATCCTTCTCGAAACGCTTCTGCGTCAAAATCCTCAAAGGACTCTGGTAATTCCCATACTTCATTTAGTGGTGAAATTTGAGCGGTGGAACCTAGGGAACAATAATTAGCAGGATCACATGGTTTACAGTTCGTTTGTCCAATTTCATCTTGATAAGTTCCTAGAGGACATAGTGCACATGGTGACTGGCCTAAGAGCTTATATCTTCCTCTTGGACACGGAATATATTCATTCAATCCAAAGTCAAATTGTTCACCGGGTAGAGCAGTAGGAATCGGAAACAATTCTGTAGATGGATCTAATGGATTAGAATTATATAATGCCACAGTTAAATTGCTACTGGAAGCTGATTGAGTAAAAAAGCGTTGTGTCACAGTATCATGAAATGATTTACGTTGTAAACGATTGGGAACAATGGAAGAAGCTAAATGAAACGGGTCTGAAGAATTCCAAACCAATGAATTCAAAATAAAAATTAATCCTTGGCTTTGTATTTGAATTAAAGAACTATCCTGAGCTGCAAAATCGACGGATTTACCAAAATTTAGCTTATCGACCGTATCAGGAGAGCCAAATAAAATTAATTGAGTTGTAAAGAAATCAGCGGTCGTGCCGCAGAAAACACTTTGCCATACCGGAACACCCAAAACCATATATTGTCCGTCATTGGATATTTTGATGGGTAATAGATTTGATGGCAGGAATGTGCATTGTGGGGTAAAAAGGAAATTTACAGCGTTGGTAGGATCCCAAGTGGATGATCGAATAGCTGGAAAGGGAATAGTTCCTGTTGAAGCGGAAGAAGTTAACATATCCCATGTATTGGACGTTAGATTCCATTGCCAAACCGTTACTGCCGGTATACAAATACCAGCACCATTTTGAGCGATCATTAAACCGGAGACAACAATCCAACGTTGTTTATAACTGATGGAATCAGCATAAAATCCGGTTGGATACGTTAATTTAAGATCTCCTTGAGAGGTATTGAAATATTGGTTTCCTGTACGCGTCAGAACATCGTTAAAGACGACAATCGATTGGAAATCATAGAAAGCAGCTAGTTTATTACCGTCACTGGATAAAGCTAGAAATAGACCTAAATTCGGAGTGTCAAAGCTTTCAAATTTCGCCCGCAGGGCAGGCGGCTGAGCAGATTCGCGATCATAATCCACGATTTCAATGAACGAAAAATACTGTGTCTGATCACGATTAATTGAACTAATAGCTGAAACAGTTTGACTAACATCCATTGCTTTACCAAATGTTACACTTGCTATTCGTGTTTGATTCAACCCATTTTCATCTAATCCAGAAACAGCTGTACAAGGCGCTGGTAAACTACTATTGTATTTCGGATATGATTGACTAGCAATAGTGAATGTAATATTGTCAGTTTTGATATAATATATTGGTGAACTGAATCGACCTAAATTAGTAATAAAATAACGGCTAGTTTCACTAACAGCGATTTGTTTAAAGGAAGAAGGGAACGGATCGGCCAATGGAACACAGAACGACGATTGGGAATAGACTAACGTTGACAGAAAATTGAAGAAGAAGAAGAGATAAGCCATCACTTTTACGTTATCTAAAATAATGAAATATGAGACATGACTTGCAAGGGCGTTTTATCCAAAAGTTGAAATTTGAAGCTGGTGCCGTGCCCTGGCATCATCCGGAAATCGCCGTCGCCGCGGATTCTTATATGTTAAAGTGTTAAAGTGTTAAAGTGTAAAAGGATAAACGTGCATAACTGAGGGTGAAGTAGTGAGAATGAGGGTGGAGCACTTCTTCACTCACTTCACTCTCACCTCTCCACCCTCACCCTCACTCGCCGCGAGTTCGTATATGTTAAAGTGTTAAAGTGTTAACACTTTAACAATGAATTCGCGGCGACGGCGATTTCCGGATGTTATGCGTGCCCTGGTGTCGGATTCATAAGATGCCTTCTTTATCGCACAAAGGTTCTGAAGTCTAAAAAGTTCGGAAGTCTAATAAGTGAAAATCCTCCATTTATGTGGTGGAACTGCGCTGCTTCCATTTACTCATTGACTACGCAAAAGAATTATATATATATATTATTATATTATTAGCTGACTATTTTGCCGCTTAAGAGTGGATTTCTCCGCGCTTAACTTCCATCTCAAACAACATAAACTTGTTTGTAAAAATTTCTGCGATAGCTGTTTTTCTCTGTCGCCGTCAATAAAAGTTGTTGAAAATCCAAAACACTATCTCTTGGAATGTCCAAAGTACGATCAAGCTCGAGCAATTCTGGCTATTCAGCTGTGTAATCTAGGTCTTAGTTTAGATATTGATAAACTTCTACTTAGAACACATTTATCCAGTGATCTCTTGATATCTGTGTGTCAGTTTGCGGGTGATTTTATTACTGCCAGTAAGCGTTTCTAACAGACTACGTCCTCTACTTTTTCACTTTTACAGATTTAACTGATCCACTCCCTTGTTTCTAAAACGCCAATATTAGGTGCTTTTCTCCTATTGATACAGTTTCCTTCATCTATTTTTATTGCTCTCCCTTTATGTTCTTTTCTTCTTTCTCTAAGTCCAACGTTTTTCTTTTCTTTTCGTCCATTTTTATTTTATGATAAGGTTCTGTTTAAGGATTCCTCTCAGGAGATACAATGTAGTCCTTAGGACAACGATTTCACTTGTTTGGTCTTCTTTTCTTAAAATAAAAGATTTTTGATTTCTTAAAATAAAAAGCTTAAACTATAAGCTTACACTCCTGCTCTTTTTCCTAAAAAGCCGATAAATGTATGGTGAGTTTCGCAAAACATAATTGCACGAGAACCAACTGTACATGACTGTTGTCAACGATATGATTCGTTGTTTTATGCCTATAACAGCAAGATGCTCATCTGTTATTGAAGTTGGAATTTTCTAACCTGTTCCCATATACTCTCTGTTAGTGTCTGTTCTAGTCCCAAAAAATATATAAAGAATCTACAGAACAGACAGATTTTGAAGAAAATGTATTTTATTTCCTTCTCAGTATTCATTTACATTAGATTTAATTAAATGGGAAATGAGAATAAATAAGTCGGGGCACTGCGATTTTATTATTTTACATTGTTCGGAAAAGATCAAATCACTGATTTTTCAATGAATAGATTCAAATTAGTTCTCTTTCTTACTTTTTCTCTGATAATGTATTCTACGGCTTCTAACACTGTTGACTGATGAAGAAAGAATTCTGTTATTATTTTGTACGGTTTCTTTGGAATGTATTTTCAGATGACTTTCTATTAAAATACTAACTACTGGGTAGAAGTTTAAAAAAGAAACTGCTGCTGCAGCACATGAAAAGTACTAGAAATGAACTATTGGAACGTATTGTTGAGAAGTGCTTTTTTCTCGCAAGAGAAAGTACAAATAACATATCATACCCCCCCCCCT